TCTAAACTTGCTTGGGATGCCTGCCCGTGCCGGGAACTCGCCACGCCTGGCTTTCCCCGACAGGTAACCCCCCCTGAAACCTCAGGGGTGCGTCATAAATCCTGGGCTGGGATCTGAACCTACTCCCTACCTGGAAACGTTGAGCCAGGTAGACCTGACCCTGCTCCCTGTGTACTGTGCTCGCCCAAATCCTGTCACCTGTAAGTTCTCAAGACACCCCCCTCTGCAGCTTTGTGTGCTATAAAAGCTTGTGGCTGGAGAGCGGGGGGTGCTCTCTGGCCTGGGGTTTCGGGTGGGACATCGCTGGCCAGCTGTGGTGGAGTCGGGGGTCTTGTATTTGTGTCCGGTTCAACAGTGCAGCCCTCCTCCTCCAGGCAGCGCCCACTGAGAGAAACCCGCGGCCTCAGGTGTTTGGCTATCTGCCAAGGGTGCTGATTCCGTGAGGAGGTCACTCGGCACTTAGTGGGAGACTGGGGTTTAGGGCTGAGCTCTAAAGCGCTGTGGGTGTGGCGCCCTTGGGCTCAGGAAGAGGGTCCTGCACAGACTGGCTGCCTCGGACTCCTCACCCCACCCCAAGCCTCCCCAGAGGCTCTGCCTCCCAGCCTCCCTCCCAGCCCCCTTGGCCTGCTCAGTTCTGGGTCTTGGGGGTAGTGAGGGTACGGGCAGGAGATGGCGTCGTGGTGGGAATCTGGAGAGGCAGAGGGCGGGCAGGGGACTCCGAGGAAGTGCTGCTCAGACCCCCTGTGGGGCCTTCCTCTTGCTGGCCCTGGGCCACCCGGACGCCTGCTGGGACGCTGATGAAGGAGGTGGTGGCCTCCACCTCAGAGGCCTTCCTTTGGCGTCAGATGCCCTGATTTTAAAGGGTGTGGCCCTCTCTGCCGTAGCCCACATGGGCCTCCCCTGAGGGGAACACCCACCGTCACCCCTCAGCCCCACGAGTACTGGGTCCTTGCCTCAGTGGGCCTCTGTGAGCTTGTCCCTCTGCTGTGAGACTTCTCTCTCCCCACCGCTTGGCAATCTCCTCTCTGCGCTTCAAACCCCAGTTCCAATGCCCCTTCCTCCATGAGGCCTGCCCAGGTAACCCAGAGGCTCATTCCACAGAAAACACAGTATCAGAGAGGAGTGCGGGGGGACCAGGGGAGGCTGTGTTCAGAGACCCAGTGGCGGGCAGCAGGGACCTCTGCTTCTGCTCCTGCAGAGAGCCCGCGGGGCGCCGGCTGAGCGGCTCCACCTCGGACAGAGCACCAGTTTCCAGGCTGTGCCTGAACCTGTGCTGCCCTGGTTATAGAGCAGCAGTTGGCCCTGAGCCCTCCATTCTGAGTTTCAGGCTGAGGGGCAATGACTCCACACCTTCTTTGTACAAGTCAACACCACCATCTGCCAGGCACAACCACCGTAAGGCACAGACGGATAAATCAGTCGTGCTGCTAGGAGCGACCGGGAACTTGTCTGCTCACCAGAAGCACAGGCGCACGCGCCTCGCAAACTCAGGTGGGAAAACTTAGGCCCGTGAGCTCCCCATGCAGCAACCCGCTCACTCGAGGTCCATCAGAAGAAGGGCACCCTGTGACTGGACACAATGGCACCCTGGCCCCATCCCCTGGTCACTCGTCACCAGCCTGGCCCAGAAAAATCACAAAGAACCTCCAAATCCCTGCCCTTGGGCTTTAGCAGAGTGCGGTTTCTCCTGCCGGTGATGAGCATGTCCAGGCTGACACCCCAAGCTGACCATCCAGGATGACGCTCTGACACTGCCGACCCCCAGGACCCTGGCTGGGAGGCACTGACCCACTCTTCTGTCTCATGGGGACTGCCACCTCAACTTTCCTCACCGTCCCTTCCTCCATCATCTGCCTGCGGCCTAGTGCCCTGGAACTTGCTCAATCTGTGGCTAGTCCGCTGGTCACATCTATAGCTCATTAACTGTCTTTTACTTCAAAACACTGTTCCAGGAATAAGAGGTCTCTGGTCTTGGGTGAGGGGTCCTGGGAAGGCTGCTGGCCTTGGGCTGTCTCAGGGCCCTGACTGTCCCTCTGTTCTGACTTGCCACCTCAGCTGTGACATGCATCCTATGAATCTTTGGGGCTGTGTCCAGATGTAAAGAACACTCCCCGTCTCTGTCCTGGAGCTGAGTTCCTGCCACAGTTCACCAGTAGCTCCCCCAGCCTGAAGACCTGAAGACCATAGACACACAAGGCCCCGGCCACTGGGCCTGAGCCTGCCCCCAGGCAGGACCATCTCCCTTCTCAGTGGCCCAAGGGAATCACAGGCTTCTGGTGCCTGGGAAGAGGAGGCCCACACCCCAAGACCTCGCCAGGGGGTTAACCCCACCACAGCCCCCGAGCACGCTTGGCCTCACTTCTCAGAGGTGGAGGGGAGGGCAACTGGGCTCCAGGCTGCGCAGCTCCTGCCCTCAGCAGGCCTCTGCCACCACCACAACCTGCAGACCCACAGCTTGTGTCCAGCTGCCCCTGGACTCCTTGGCAGCCATGATCATAGATGACCCTGGCAGACGGTCGGGCTGTTTTCACCTTCATGTGTCAGGTCAGAGGACTAGAGCCACCGTCCCTTCACAGGACGCCCCTGGATCTGTGACTCGGGGAAAGACCAACTCTGTACACAGATTTGGATGCAGATAAAAAGGTCTCTCAAACTGAACCTGGTTCCCCTTCCTTAGGCCTTAGGTAGTCTTGACCTCGGAATTGTGCACCCTGGGGTCCTCCCCGAGGAGGACGAGGACAGTGAAGTACCATGTCCTGGAGCCCCTCGGCATTCCCACAAACCTGGCCAAGTCCAGGGACCGTGCGTGGGTCTTAGGAGACCCTGTGAGAAGCAGGGCAGCTGGTGCCATCTGTAGAAGCTGCGTTCCTTCACATGGGCCAGAGCACCTGCCCTTGGAATGGTGGCCAGGCCATGGCACTGAGAATCTTGGCGAGGCTGCTGCTCACATGGCCGGATCTAGAGCCCTCCCTGCAGCAACTGGCAGGGAACAGAGCACCGTGGAGAGGGCAGGCGCTGCGCATCCAGCCTGCCACCACCGGACTCTCCCCAGCAGCTGGTCAGTGGGTCTCAATTTGCTGTAAGCCTTGTATGTCCCCAGTTGTTGTCTCTTAGCAAACTACCAGTGCCCTAGTGCAGCTGGGCTGCGGATGGGACATCCTTAACTGCCTGGTGTCCTGGGTTCCTTGTAGATTGGAGGCCACAAATCTCCAAGCAGTAGCTGTTCAGGGGCAAACAGATGGAGGTTTCCCCAGAGAGTCAGCAAACTCACATAAGGCTAGCAACAAAGGGCGTCCACTCCCAATCAGGACTCTCGACCAGTGTCCCCACTCAGCAGAAAGCAGTTTCAGAGCAATGATCTCCAGCCCTAAAGCCTCGAGGAGAGGGGTGACATGTCTCAGGAGGGGGTTTCCTAGCACAGAGGGTCGGGAAAGGAGGCTGCGACTCCCCCCCACTGTACCCTGAGTCCTGGCAGGAAGTCCCTGGCAAGTCTCCCCAAGTTGCTTTCCAGAAGAGTGTTCTCAGGGGCAGGCACCAGCGACCCAAAGGTGGACCTGACTTCCTGGTGACACCCAGAGCTCCACCAGGGAAGAGCAGCAGCCTTGGTCCCCCGACGTGGGAGGCACACAGGACTGTCCCCACCCAGGGGGTGACGATGCTCCTCCCTCCTGAGGATGCATTCCCTGCCCAAATGAGCTGCGGCGGGCCCTGGTTTGGGGTCGTGGTTGTGGAAGCCATGGCCTGGGCTCTCCTTACTTGCTACACATCAGCTCCATTCCCTGTGGTGTTCCCTTCTGTCCCCGCAGGAGGGAGACCCAGGCCCAGCTTCTGGGCAGGAAGGCACTCTTCTCCACAGAGCTCCTCAACGTGGCCCAAGCCACTTCACCCGACTGCCCAGAGGCCCTCGTTCTGAAGCTTTCTGTGGCTCAAGACTGGCCAGGTCCTGGAGACTTGGCTCTCTTCAGAGCCTGGGTCCTCTCTCTGGGGACAACTGGAGGTAGTGACCCTGCCTGTGGCCCTCTGGTGGGGGCTGCTCTGGGGGTGCCCTCAGGTTCCCCTCACAGCTTCCAGGGTGGCCACTGGTTCTGTCCACCAGCCTGCGCTGATCTCCGTGGAGGGCGGGTCCAGCCCTTGCTCTCCTGGGGCAGCTCTGGACCCGCGGGACCTCCACACCTGAGCAGCTGAAGCTGCAGCGTTTTTTCTGCCTCGGACATGGCCAGCCGTGCCGTCCATGGAATTCCTTCAAAAGACCTGAGGCCAGGTACAAGGCTGCCCTGTCTTCCCCAGAGGCCACTCCAGTGCCCCGAGGGTCACAGCTTTCTTGGACAAAACTTTTAAAGAGAGACCACGGAGGGCCTGGTCCTGGTGGGCTTCCCGCTGCTTAAACTGGGTTCTAGGCACGTGCTCTGCCCCGGAGGGGCCATGTCTCCAGCTGGGGGTCATTTCCGAGGCTGCCCAGCAGCAGTGGCCAGGGCCCTGAGGGAGGGTTCTCCTCGGGATGGTGACTGTCCTCGCCCTGCCCAGCTAGGGCCTCTCTCACCAAACGTCTGAATGGCGGTTCACGGGAGAGCTCTGGGATCCGCGGGTGGCAGTTGGCCTGGCCACACCCTCTCCAACTGTAGCTTGGACTGTAGGTCCCAGGGGGCCCTGAGATGAGCACCAGGGACAGTGCCTGTGGCCTCCGGGCGTCCGCAGGAATTCGCTCTTGGCTCCCAGGACTTGGAGCCATCTCAGGACTTGATCTGCACAGTGTCCCCGCAGCCGAGCCGTGGGAAGACAGCCGTCAGCCCAAACTCGTGGAATGAGCTCAGGCTGCGGAGCTGGACGAGATGCTCCAAGGCCCGCTCGGGGCAAGCCCCCCACTCCTCCTGCTGGCCCCCAGGAGACCCTCCTCGCAGGATGCAGGGCCTGGGGGGCCTGACCACAGGCCTGGGAGGCAGCGGCGTCATCTCACCAGGGCAGGCGAAGTTCCCTAACTGCCCTCCACGTCAGTTGGGGGCGGAATTCTCAGGGTGAAGGAGCCTCTGGACCTGGGGCCTCCAGGAAGTGACAGTTGGGAACTACTCCCTGAAGTCTCCCCTGGTCCTCTGCTGGGGCTCTCTCTGGACGTGATCCCCACTGAGCGCTGGGGACAGTGACTCGCTGATTCAGACTTGAAGAAGGGCCTCTCTTTGGGGAGGTATCTGCCCCACTCCCACCTAATGACAGTTGTGAGGCTGACCTGGAGCAGGCCTGGGCAGGGTCCAGTTTTACGTCCTTCCAGGCCACCTCCCAGCCTGTCCCCTGCCCCCCAGAACCAAACACCATAGTGGGGGCTCAGGAATCCTTTCAGCATGTTCTCCGCGGGCAGCTGGGGAAGCAGAGGTCTCAGGGACACCTTCCCGCCTCCGCCTTGCTGCCCCTCCAGCCCCTGTCTCCTGTGGTGTGGACCCTGCCCACCCCCCGCCCAGTGTCTCTCCCCGCCTGGGGCCTTTCTGAACCTTCAGATGACCTTCAGAAAACCCCAACAAGTTGCTCCATGGCCAGGGCTATTGGGCTCCCTGAATGGTGGCCCTGGGAGCAGGGGCAGAGAGAGCCCAGAGGGCAGGCGCCTCCACCCTCTCCCCTGGCAGCCCTCTGCCATCTCCACTCACTCCTCCTGGATCTCAGCACAGCCACAGAACACCCCCGGAGACCCGAGGGCTCAGCAAGTCTGTCCACGGGCCGAGGGGAGAGAGCCCCCGTCCGACTGGAAGGTCTGAGCCCTCCATCTTCCCCTCAGGCTGCCAAGGTCACCAGACCCGGACCTCAGGACTGGGCAGAGCCCTGGGCCCGGTGCTGCTGCCCAGCTCCCCGCGGGGCCAAAGGTAGTGAACGAGGGCGTCTCGCGTCCTTCTCGTGGTTAGGTAGCCTTGTTATCTATCTATGTTTCTGACGAGAGTCAGTCATGCTCACTGGGGACCCATGGGGAAACTTCAAAAAAGATTCAGGGGGAGAAAACAAACTGGTCTCCTGGAATCCAAGCCCTGCAGAGAAGGTGGCTCTTGAATCCCATGGCCTTTCCGGCCGTCTGGAGAATCACCACTCCCAGCCCTGCCGTTCTTCCCATTTTAAGCGTGTGGCTATTGAACCTGGGGAGAAGCTGTGCCGGGGCTCTCTGGGCACTTCTAATGTTCTCTACAGTTTAATTTCTAGCAGTGGGACTCAGGGCCCAGCCAGCGCTGTCTCTGGCAGCACAGGGACCCTGGGGTGCTGGTGGTGGCGCCCCAGGGCCTCATGTCTTTAATAAGGTCCACGCCATCTGTGCTCAGGGGGACACAGCTTTGTTTCTCTTATTGGCCTGAAGGTCGTGGGACACCCCCTAAGCCACCTAGGCAGGGTGCCTGTCCCTTTCACAGGCCTTGGAGAGCTCGTAGCGGAAACCCACAAGCAGCCACCACTCCAGAGACAGGAAGGGAGCAGGGAGAGGGCAGGGCCGAGGGTGACCAAGTTAGCCAGGACAGGGAGCAAGGAGTGGGGGCCGCCTGGAGAGCACTTTCCTGGCAGGGCCCACGGGAGCAGAGGTGCAGGTCCGGGCCGGGTGCCACCTACGGAGACCTGAAAAGAAGGCGTGTCCTCTGCAGGTCGGGCAGAGCTGGCCAGGGGAGGGCAGGGCTGTGGCTCTGCAGGTGAAGGGAGCTGGCCCTGGACCAGGCTGCTGGTGTGGGCTCCTCTGCCTGAGGGCAGGAGGGAGCTGGGAAGGGTCTCGGGTGGTCTCTGGGTCACTCTGGGCAGCTGGACCAGTTCAGGGCCTGGCTGAGAGAAAGGACAGGAGCTCAGTGGGCGACTCAGGACAGGCAGGACCTGTGTAGGAAGGGCAGAGGCCGCAGGTAGCCTGGCCCAGGCACAGAGGCCCGCTCAGCTCCCTGCCGTGGACCTCCTCTGGCCAGGTTTTCTGGGGCTCAGTTGCCTCAGGCCACCCTAACCCCACCTCTTCAGCTAGTTGTCCTGACTTTGGGCTCCCTGGTCTCCTCTCAGGAAGCCTTCCAGACCCACTCCTGCTGGAATTCCAGGTTGGGAATGCAATGAATTAGGAGTGTTTTTGCATCTCCATGAAAAGCATCTGAGGAACTGGTTTCCAGAGGGATTTTGACCTCCCAGGAAGACCAGCTCCTCCAAATATCCATCGACCCCTGAGGGGAGACCTAATGGAGGCCCTTGAGACAGATGCCCAGGCCTCACCTGGCAGCTGAAGGGCAGGGGCCATCGCGCTCAAGAGGGGAGAATGGAAGGATCGTAGAGGCCAGGCATGAGGGAGCCGAGGCCAGGACGGAGCAGGGAACAGGCCTGTCCCTGGGCTATGGCTCCTGAGGGGTTCAGCCAGTGCACCTCGGAAAGCAGATGGACAGCTAGACTGGGGTGGACAGGGGCTGAGAAAGCTGGGGTGGTGTGGCGTGGCCCAAAGGCCTGGGATGGATAGAGAAGGGAGGTTCTGGGGACATGGAATGAGCTTGGCTGATGGGAGGGGGCCCCGCGGTCCTCAGCTGGCAGGGCAGTTAGTGCCGCTCAGCCAGGCACCCCACGGAGGTGCCGTGCCGCAGGGAGGTGGGCTGTCCTCTCACTGGTGGCCCTGCTGTCACCTGCTCACCCTCGTCTCCCACACCTGGGTTTGCGCCCCGCACTGCTGTGCGTGCTGAGTCCCGCCAGACCAGGCGCTCTGCGGGGCACAGACCTGAGGTGACCAGGCCCAGCTTCCTCTCCCGGAAGAGGCAGGGGCTCAGCGGCTCCTAGCAGAGAATTCGTGTGGGGGCTGGTGTGGAGGCTGGGAGCACTCCAGGTCGGGGGCAGGGGTGCTAAAAGCTGCCTGGGCCACCAAGCAGAGGGCTGCAGAAGGAGGCCGTGGCCGGGAGCAGGTGGCTGAGTGAGGGCCCGGGCCAGGGGGAGTGACGGAGGCTGCCAAGGCCCCACTGGGGCAGTGTTTTTGCAGGGTTCAGTCCCAGGTCAGGACCTCGGGAGACACATGAGGGCTTTTGTAGGGTGCCAGGTGGACAACTGTGGGCTGATTCGTCAGTTGGACGGCCTGCTCACCTAGGGTCGAAGGCAGAACCTGGCCTGGTGATCCTGGCTGAGTGGGCAGGGGCTCTGGACCCTGAGGGAGGCCACCCAAGCATGGTGGGGCAGCACCAGGGGCAGTGTTCAGAGAGTACCTGGGCTGGCAGTGACCCTGGATTCCCGTAGGTCCTCTGGCGGCCAGTTAGACATGCAGCTTCTGGTCAGACCACTGCTGCAGGAGGACGTGCACTTTAACCCGGTTCCACGTGACCCTGCTGTGCACGTGGGGCAGGGCGGACCATTCAGGGAGGGGCTCAGGGGGACCGGGGGAAGGTGCTGAGCAGAGCCCTGGTGGACATCAGAGGAGGGACCAGGTGACCAGGTGGAGGCAAGGGCAGCACAGGCCCTGAGTCCCCACATGCTCTGTGAGGCCACTGCACAGAGGTGCCAGGACATTCACCTGGGTCCAGGGGCTTCTGGCCTTGCAGTGCCCACAGATTGGCCCTGTTTCTTGGAGATGCTGGGCTCCTGCCCTCTCTCAGCTGCTGTGACCAGGAGATGGCTGTGTGAGTGTGCACCCTCGTCCCAGCCAGCACACCCCAGGCCCGGGCCTCTGAGGAGGGCAGCACGGGCACCTCCCCTCCCACCCAGGTCCTCCCCTGCCATGGAGGCTGAGGGGGCTTGTGCATGCGTTTGGGTAACTGAGGGAGCACTGGCTAGGAGCAAGGAGGCCGAGGTGGGCCTGACCAGGGGGGTGCCTGGGGAACTCACGGGGCCTGGCTCAGGGTAGGGTGCAATGCGTAGCCTTCCTGTCCCCGCCAGGTCCCGAGGCATTGTGCTCCATGTTGGCCCCAACCAACAACGTCTTCCACCGGCCCCTCTGGTTGTCCAACCGCCTTTCCCCCAGGGAGGAGCAAGAGCTGGAGCTTGGTGAGCAGGTGGGCAGCGGGCAGAGTCTGGGGTATGGGCACGTTGCTGGGGCACCAAGGTTCCCAGGCTCAGCAAGGGATGCATCTGTTCCCATTGCACTGGGCAAGGCCATCGCTGTCCCTTCAGACCCTGCCTCCTGGTAAGGGGACTGGGCAGACAAGCCTGGGACAGCTTCAGTGACCCCCAAGGGCCTGAGGTGGGGTGTGCTGGAAGGCCCCCTTCTGGCCCCTACCTGCCCATACTCACTCCCCCTGGCAGCTGGGGGCCGGCCTTCCCTGCATCCAGGGACAAAGAGGGCCCTGAGGTCCTGGAGCACACAGGGCCGGCTGGGTGCCACCTCCTAGCCAGCTTCACAGAGACCTTGCTGCTGATCCTTGGGGTCCTTGAGGCTTTGACAAAGGAGAGGTGGCATGGGTCTTCCAAAGGCCATTACAGACATAAACATCTGTGCTGACTGGCAGCCCAGGGCTGACCAGGGGGTAGTCAGGGATTTTATGGGATGAATGACCACAAGGATCTATGAGCAAGAGTTGCAGCCTACCACACAGCCTCCTGGCCACCTGCACAGGTCAGGGCGGGCAACACTCTCAAACGCCAACAGCAGGCTCCTCCTCAAGATGGCACCAGGCCAGGGCCAGGGGTTGGAAGGTGTGGGGCTCCATGAGGCTCAGGTGAGTGTCCTGCCTGGCAGTGCTGATGCTCAGTCCCCAGGGGGTGAATGGCAGGGACTGAGTCTGTTCATTTGCAGCACACCAGCTGGGGGCCATGGGCCACTGACCCGAAGACCGGGCTGTGAGGCTGGCTCACAGCCTTCTTCAGATGGAAGCAGGGCTGATTCTCCCGAGATCCCAGGGCCACATGGTGTGCACACCGTCACTGCACGCTCCCAGGAGAGAAAAGAACCCTGCGCCTGCAGTTCTGAGCGCACGTTATTTGTGCTTTGGGACCTGCAGTTGAATGACTTGTCACCCTTCTGGGTGTGAGAATAGTTTCTTCACACTGTCTTGTGTTTGTGGGGCTCTGTTCTGTAGGGCTCGATCCTCTGCTGCACCTTGGATGAGGCTTTGGGGTACCCCTAGCCCCCTAGGTGTGTGGCAAGCACCTCCTTAGCTCATCTCTGCCGCGGGGGACGGTTTCTGTGGCTCATGGCAGAAGTGGTCTCCCTGAATCTCTGTGGGTTCCGCATTCAGGAAGCCTCCGCCACCCTGGGTCGTGGACCACAAGCCCACGGCTCGGTCTGCCCTTGGGAAGATGCTGCTCTTTGCTGTTGGTTTTGGTGTGAGGATCAGGCAGGGAGCCAGCTCAACTTGCTCCAAACGATGGGAAGTTACGTGGCACCCTGACCCCCCATGTTTTCCTCGTTGATGTGCAGTTTTGAGTTCAGGTTGTGGATCATGTCTCTGTGCCCTGGGCCGTCGGAGCCCTGGGCCCAGGTCATCTGGCTGCACACTGGCCCTACTCTGTGACATGCCCCCAGCACATGCTGCACTTTCAGTTCTCTTTATTTTAAAGCAAGTTTGCGGGTCCAGGAAGGGTCCTCGCGGGGACAGGCTTGCCTGGTAGGGGTCTCCACTGCAGCCCAGCCTCCCTTGGCTTCCGCGAGGGTCGTGGTCCTGGGTCTCTGGGACTTGCGGGCAGACTACACTGTTTCTCTGCAGATTACTTAGACTCGAGCTTCCCAGGAGACACAGGGAAGCACTGGACCTGCAACCCATCCTGGGAGGCCCACCTGGTCAGCAAAGCCAGGGCCATGCTGGTCACTGAGCAGAGCCTGGTGTTGGACACCATCAGCATCTACCTGTATGCTCAAGGCCAGGTAGGCCAGAGTCGCTCCACCTGACAAGAGTGGGCCTGCTGGCACCCACCACCTCCTGCCCCCGAGCCACTGGGCCAGGGAGGAAGCCTGCTCCTGGGCGTACCTCATGGCCACCCCCGGCGTTCGACCGTCCCTTGGCTTTTGCCATCCCTGAAGGTGCCAGGTGTGAGGGAGTCAGGGCACAGGAGCGTGGAGGCCCAGAGACACCTGAGGCCCAGCGTCCTGCCTGCTCAGGGCTCTTCCCGACCTGCCTTCTAACACTCACTAAGGCTGCCCGGCTCAGGCCTCCTGCAGTTGTGGGATGGAGGGACAGCAGGACCCAGACTTGCTCCTCCTTGGGGAGGCCCCTGTCCCAGAGGGCCACCAGAGGGCCACCAGAGGTTCCTGAGATGGGTGAAGTGGTTCTGGCCCCAGCCTCCAAATTTCTGCTCCAACCTTGGTTTCCAGCCTCTGGAGGCTGCTGGCCACACCTGTGGGCCACTCAGGAAGAGACTCCTTGAGGTCTGGGGACGACAGAGGCAGGAACCACATCAGGGCCATGGCTCACAGAGGGAGGCTGCCCCAAGCACTCCGCTGAGTATGAGGGCTGCCAACCTAGGCTCAGGGAGCTGGGCGTGGCAAAGCGTCGAGTCCAAGGGAGCAGGTTGTGCAGGGGCCAGAATGGAAGCGGCACGGGGGTGGGGAGCGCTCCGGAGCAGGCAGGGCCCGGGCAGGGTGGGTGGAAGCCGAGTGGGACTGAGCACCGAGCTCTGCCCACAGCTGGTGGAGAAGCACCGGATGTCAGACTCTGGCATGGACATTCAGAGGCTGCTGGAGTTCCTGAAGATGGACCCCCAGAAGGCTGAGGACAAGGTCAGTGCCTGGGCCGGCTTCTCAGGGCCTCCCTCTGCCACTCAGAGACCCTCAGCAGGGTGACCCCCAGGCCCCACACTGCTGACAGGATGCAGGAAGCACTGACGGGAGTGAGGGCTGACCTGCGGTCTCCACCCAGTGTGTGTTGGGGACCCAGAGGACAGGCCTGGGCTAGGGCCTGAGCTAGGGCCCTGCTGATAGAAAGTCTGGACATCACCTGCAGTAGCCATTACAGGTGAGGCTCCCACACCAGCCGGAGCAAGCTGACCCCTACCGTGGATGGCCATGCACTGAGCGTCCAGCTGGGTGCTGCCCAGGGGCCAGCGCTCCCGTCCCTCCGCCCAGGTCTTCCTCTTCCAACTTTATGGGATCTTCCTTCGCGAGTGTGCCGACATGGAGCTGGTGAAGTGGCACCTGACCTGCCTCCTGGAGTCCTCCCACCTGTCCTGCAGCCAGCGAGAGGTGGGTGGGCACTTCCGGGCTTCCCCTCTTCCAAACCCTGCCTCATAGGGCCCCTGTCACTTCCGGGCCCTCAGCCCTTGCTCCTGGAGATCTGTGTGGATCTTGAAGTGGAGGACCACTGTATCAGGTGCTAACTGGTCCTCCTGGGAGGACCAGGGCCCTGACCGGGGGCCACTCACAGGATCCTCTGCCCACAGGGCATCGCCCTCTCGGTGGGCTTAGCGTCCACCACGCACCTGGAGGAAGTGTGGGCCCTGCTGGAGCACATGGGCCGAACCAGGTTCCTGAGGTGGGCCCTCCCGTCCCCAGAGAGCCAGGTAGAGAGTCCCTGGAGGCTGCCGGTGTGGAGTGTGGGGCTGGCAGAGCCTTGGCCTCCAGCGCTCGCGGGGGACATGAGGGTTCTGGAGGGCTGCTGTGTGGGACGCAGGCCAGCGAAAGCCCTCAGTCCCTGCTGGGCAGAGCACCTGGAGTGAAGGGGCTCCCCCGACCCCAGGGGCTGTGTGAGGCCTGGCCACCAGAGCTAGGAGGTGTGCCGAGAGGCCCTCTCTCCAGCACTCCCTGCCCAGAGTCCTCCCGGGGAAAAGCAGACCCTGGGAGCCCCCAAGGGGGACGTCTGCCTGGGAACGCAGACCGCCTGAGGGCTTCCTGAAGGAGAGGGCTGGTGCCAGGCCTAGGACTGGGCCCCGAGGACCTGGCCACTGCCAGGAGCTGGGCAGAGGGCTTGACCCTCTCCTGGGGCAGGAGACAGGTGCAGGCTGGGAGGGCAGCCAGTGGGCCTCTGCTAGAGCCCTCAGGACCAGCTGTGCCTGCTGCCTGCAGCCAAAGGACCCTGACCTACACTGGAAGTGGGTCAGCAGCACCTACCTGCTGTGCTATGGACAGATGGCCATTCACGCCAAGGAGCGGATCCTGCCCTGGGTGGACAACATCATCTCCAGGATGGTGTACTACTTCTCCTGCAGCTACTACGTGAGTCCTGCCCCAGCCCCTCCGGAGAAGGGCAGGGAAGGTAGTGCACCCCAGTCCACGTCGCCCCAGGCCACACTCGCCGCGGAGACAGGAGGCTCAGGCACAGGGATGTGGCCGGGCAAAGCCTACCCCGGGTCTGCTTCCCACGTCCCTGGGCCCAGGGCTGTAACTGCAGGGGGTGGCGACCAGCCTGAGGCTGGCGGAGGAGGCGGCCACCTGCCTGTACTGTCCCGAGCCACGGGCAAGTGGGAGCACCTTCAGATCCCTGCAGCTCCTGCTGGGCACTCACACTCCTGGCACAGGGTGGATCTCACCCCTGCCCAGAGCCGCTGGCACCTGGGGCTGTGGTGTGAGTGTGAGTGTGTGCACATGGTCCTGGGCTGTGTGCTGCCTGCAGGCTGGTGAGAGTGTGTGTGTGTGCTCTGTGTCGAGGTGTGTCACACGTGTGCACCTGTGTGGGTGTGTTTGTGCATGCACAAGCTTTGGGGAACTCTGTGCCACTGTCCCCTGACCTGGCCACCTTTTAGGATGAAATCCTAGAATCGAGCTTCCTCTCCGCATGCATCCTGCTCACAAGGGTGCTCAGGAAAGAGTACGGCGCCCAGAACTACAAGTTCACTCAGACGCCAGAGCTCATCCAGTGTCTCCTGGTGAGTGGTGTCACCAGGGCCGCCAGGGTGGGTGGGGCAGGCAGGCCCGGCCGCTGGTTGGGTGCCACTGCCACACTGGTCCCTCCTCTACCTTCCCAGTGCATGCTCCAGAAGGAGCCTGACTTCCTGGCCACCCTCTGCCGGCAGAGGATCATACTCGTCATTGTGGGTCTGAGGTGACTCCCCCTGGGGTCCAGGAGCAAAGACAGGCCAGGCCCTCTGACTGTGGAGAGGGTCACTGTGCAAAGGACCCCAGGGCTGGGCCAGGACTCGGTCCATCTGCAGGGCCAGGTTGCTGTGTTCCCAGCCCAGAGGTGGTTGTGCGGGCACATGCTGAGCCCTGACCCTGGCCACACGTGAGCCCTGACCTGTGGCACGCTAAGTTCTGGTCGTGGTCACGGGCTGATCCTTTCCCCACACAGAGCCCTGATCCCAGTCACATGCTGAGCCCTGACCCTGGCCCAGCCCTGGCCTTGTCACCCCTGGAGTCCTGACATGGCCACAAATCAAGTTCTGATCTTGGTCCACTCACCACCCTGACTGACCCCGAAGTTTCTCACAAATACCAAAGAACCCGAGAGTGAAGCCGATTAGGATGGCCCGCTGCAGCCCCTGTCACGGGGGCCTTGCCAGTCCAAGTCAGCTCCGTTTCCCCCATGCCTCCCCACCCTGTGCCAGGTGTGTGGCTGTCCAGGTCCACTCCCAGCCAGGCTTTGGCCCCAGCCCACGAGTCCTGCCAAGCCTGCTCTTCTCTGGTTCCTTGCAGCAACCTGCGGCCCAGCCTCAAGCCCCTGGTCAAGTCCAGGATTCTGCAGACCTGCCTGCGGAGCGTGTACCTGCTGCCCCCAATAGAGGAGCTGAAGAGCAAGTCCCCTCCGCTGGAGCCAGCCCCGGATGTCATGGTGACCTTGTGCTTCTGGGCCACTCCCCTTCTTCCTTCATGGTGGGTGCCGGGTACTGGCCCAACTGTCCAGCCTTGCTTGGTGAGGGCAGGAGAAGGAGTTAGGGTCTAGTCTGGGTTCCATCCTGGCTGATTTTGACCTTGGGGAAATCCTGGGTCTTGGCGTCCTGCCCTCCCCGGGGCCAGGGTGCTGTGGTGTCCCACGGGGCGTGGCTGCCCAGCGCCCACTCAGCAGCCTCTGCAATGCTGGCAGCACCCAGGGCTTCGCAGCACTCTTTATCCTGACCCCTGAGGCCCAGGTCTTTCCTCACCAGGACCCTGCGTGGGCCTCGAGTGCTCCTGACTGGACCCAGGATGGAGCAGAGCCATGTCACATTCGATGACCTAAAGCATCCCAGGGTGTACCCAAGGCTGGGCCAGGCCCTTCTGTGCACAGGACAGCAGGGAGGTGCAGCTGAGCTTAGAGGTGGCCTCAGGGGCCAGGTTGCCAGGGTCAGTGGTGGACTAAATCCTGGCTGGCTAGGCTTTGCTCAGTGGAAACAGCAAAGCCAGTAACACACCTAGTGACCGGGAAAGCCTGGTTAGCAAGGATAGCTGAGAGCTGCGGCCGCAGGCCAGGTTGGGAAGCCCTGTGAGCTCCAGGCGGGTTCCCCAGCAGACCCTCAGGTCATCCGGGACAGCTGCAGAGAGCAGAGGAAGGTGGCTAGGGCCTGGGGAAGCCCACCTCTGTGTGGACACAGACCACGGCGGGCAGCACCCAGGTCCCACTGCAGGAGAGTGGTGTCGGGACCCTTTCCCAACACCCCTGTCTGGCTAGTTGGAGCCAGCTGCGTCTCAGCAGGCAGAGCTGCACGTGGAGGGTGTCAGAGACAGGGCCTGGGATGTGGCACGGCAGGGCTGTAGAGGTGGCACAAGGCGCCACCCACGGTTGAGCACACACCTGTGCCCACATCCATGTGCAACTGTAAGGCACACCTGCTCAGAAAGCTCCCTCGTGCCTGAGGGGATGCCCCGCTGCCCATGGGTCCCTCCCTACACCCTGGGCAGGTTCCTGTAGGACCCTCTTCCGTCTCCATGCCCTGCCCACCCATGCTGTCCCACGCAGGTCTATCGATGGGACCGTGGTGACGTCGTCTGGACGTGTTCCAGGCACCGCGAAGGTCTCGAGAGCGCAAGCCCTGGCTTGTCACCTCAGTTCTCGCCCCCTCCCCTCTCGCGCCATCCCAGCCATCTCCAGGTTCTCTTTGGAAGTGGCCTGAGTCACCTCTGTGGTTCTTAGGTTTAGAGGCCCTTTTGTTTCTAGATGTGAGCCTCTGTCCTCTGATACCTGAAGTGGACACATTTTCTCCCAATTTGTAGCTTCCTCTTCTTAGTTGAGTCTTCTGGGCAGCGGAAGTTGCTGATGTTGAGGAAATCCAGATGGGTCACGCTTTCTGGTGGGATGTGGAATAGTGCAGCTTCTTCAGAAATGGGTCTGGCTCTCCCGCCCCAGGTACTTGCCCACAGAGGCGGAGCCTGCGTCTGGACCAGAGCTGGGCACAGGCTCCGGTACCTCGGGCCTGGTGCCAACCACGTCTGCTGTGGCCCCCGAGTCTGCCGACACCCCGTTTCACAGCTTCTCTGCTTCTGCCACAAGTCTTGTTCTTTTGGAGCTGACACCTGGTCCCTGTCCAGGTCTGGGCAACTGTAACCAAGTACCATAGCTGGTGCTGCACAAGCCACAGAAATCTGCCTCTTGCAGGTCTGAGGCTGGGAGTCAGATGCCGGGCAGGTGGCGGCTCTGGGGAGGCCTCGTCTGGACTCCGGCAGCTGCTTCCTGGGTCCTCCCTTGGTGGAGGGGCTGGAGTGCTCTGGAGCCCCTCTCATGAGGGCACTGATCCCATCATGGGCACCTCCCAAGGTCCCCCCAAGGCTCCCGCCCTAGGATGTCAGCCTAGGAGGCTGAGGGGACACAGCCTGGAACGGGGCGGGCCCCCCTGTGTGGGCTGGAGTTTGTCTGTGCACGAACGCACTGGCCGTGGGGGCACTTGACTGAACCAGACCCTCCTGGTTTGGTTCAGTCTCCTTGGCTGAACACCAACCTGCAGGGACCCAGGATTCCATTTCTAATGGCTTTGTTCTGCCCCGTGATCTGTGCTGTGCCGTTGTCACACTTCTTCGGTGGCGGGGCCGGTGGACAGCATGCTCAGGACCCGAGAAGTTCACACTGGTGTCCAGTCCTGCGTGACAGTGTGATGGGGGTCGGAGCCCTCGTGGACACACAGGTGTCTGAGAGCTCGTCTGCTGCTCCCCCTGGGGGGACTGGGGGGACGCGGTGACAGTGGAGCCTGGCTCCTGGGCTCCGAGACACACATTCCCGGGTGGGTAAGCACAGGCCGTCGGCTCCCACAGGGCGCTGAGGGCTTCCTGAGCCCGAGGCCGGGTTCTGTCCTTCTTGGCGATTGCTTCTGCTCTCCGGGGCGCCCGGCGTTTCCTGGCGTTTCCAGGGAGGTTTGGAATCGGCTGCCCTCCGCACACTGGGACAGGCCTGGGCCCGCACAGGCTCTGGGGGCCGTGGGGCCAGGGTCTTCCCGTAGCCAGGCCCTCTGCGCTCTCCCACCACTCTCCTGCCCATCCCTCCCACTGTGGTGACGTTTTCCATGGTGTCTGGAGGCTTTAGGTCCCCGGCTCCTTGCTGGTACACAGGAAGTGACCTGTGAGGCTCCACCTCTGCCCCTCGGTGCGCGTGGCTTCCCACGTGAAGGCGGCCCACTCCCTCCTTCCTGACTGTGTCCTCCCTCTTTGTCCTCAGCCTGCTGCGCTCGCTAGGGTCAGGGTCGGGGCCCAGCGCAGATGGGCAGCGGGGTGCGCTGCAGGCCTGTCTTGGGGGGTGCCCGCCGCTGCCCGCGCTCTCCCAGGCCCTCCACGGGGACCGACTTGGATTTGAGGTGTCTTCATCTTCACTCGGCTTGAGGCCTGGATTCTCTGATTTCACTCTTTGATGCGCTGATGACTTAGAGGTGCGCCGATGTCTTCACAGGAAGCTCCTTTTCTGTCAGGAGAGCACTTTGCCCAGATCCACCGGCCCACAACACGGCAGGCGCCGTGCCCAGCTGTGTGCGCCTGTGAGCGACCGTCTTCTGCCGACCCTCGCGGACTTGGTCCACACACCCTCAGTGAGGGGCAGGGCCACACGTCCCGGCCGCAGGGCACTGTCCCCCCGCCCCGACCCGCTATGGGATTTCAAAGTTGTTGTTAAGCCGTAAAGACGGAGGCCTCTTGTCTTGCTGGAGCCGTGGGAAAGGCTGTCTTCACCGCTGGCCTGGCGCCCAGTGCCTGCTGCTAGGTCCCTACACCTGTGTGCCTGTCCCCGATGCCCCTGCCCAGGTCAGGGCTGGGCCTTGCCCCTGGCTGTGCCGTCAGCCTCAGCACCGTCGTTGCTGAAGTGACTTTTTTAGGAAACCTGTGAGTAGGTCTGGCTTGATGGCCTTGGCCCATCAGGTGGCAATGGCCCATCAGGTGGCAATGGCCCATCAGGTGGCATTTTGAGGGGGGCGATGGCCCATCAGGTGGCGATGGCCCATCAGGTATCTGTCTGGCACGGCCGTCTTGCTGGCCGTTCCCTGTCCCTCTGTCCTTTGTTCCCCCTTGGTGTCTTTCCGCGTTGGACTCAGATGAACTTGTGGTCCACATCGTTAGCGCGTCTCTCTGTCCTGCTGGTCCTGACACCTGTATCAGTGCCCATGTCTGTGTCACGTCCTCTCCCTTTGGTCACCTGCCTATGCGCACACTTCTGTCTGCAGCCTTCCATCTCAGTCCATCTCTTGATTTTGAAAACGTGTCGTGCCCAGGAGGCCCTGGTTGGCCTTCTGGATTGAGTGTGTGTGTGTGTGTGCGTGCGTGTGTGCGTATGTGTGTGGCGGGGTGTGTACTCATGTGTGTGGGTGTGTGCAGGTGATGTTGGCACAGGATGTGGACAGCAGTGAGACTGACAAAAGTTCCAGCAGGTGGCTTGCTCAGCCCAACCTGACCAACAGCGTGCCAGCACTGGTCCCCTGGCCCCAGGGTGATTCTCCAGCCCTTGCTGCCACGTGCCCTCTGCAGGTCTGCCCTGCCGCTCTCTGGACACCGTGCCTGCAACTAACACTGTGCCAATGGGAGGGAGGACAGGAGAGGGGAGGACCCCAGTGCTGTGAGGAGCCCCGGCCCCCCTAGACTCCAGGGAAGTGCTGTCCACTGTCTGGCCACTGTCCTCCTCCTGACATGGATGCACCTGTCTTGCACGCACCGGTCAGACCTGTCCTCTGGACTGGAGATTCCCACGGGTGCTCGCGCTTCCCCATCTGTGCTGGGTGATTCTGTGGGCTGCGCCTCCCCGGGGCCAGGACACACCAGCGAGCACCCGCCCTGAGAGGGAGTCGCGGCTAGGAGGCTGGCTAGGGAGGCCCGTTGGCAGGCGCCCTTCTGGCCTGCGTCCGCACGTCTGTCTCCCTGGTGAGGCCCTGGCAGAGCGGCCGTGGGTGCTGGGCAGCAGCTGGGTCTTCACCGTGATGGCTGACTCCCTCACTGAACCTTTCCACAGTCCCCGCAGCTCTCAGGGCCCAGTGGGCACCAGGGCGACGGGCAGCAGGTCTGGGGTGACTGGACCTGCTGAGTTCCGCGTACCTGGGGCCGTCCGTCAAACAGTATTCCCAGGAGAGGGGAAGGAGGACCCCGCCTGTCCTCTCCTCGGGAGCCCAGCGCTCCAGGGCAGAGGAAGGAAGACGCCCGAGAGCAGGGGCCACACTCACGGTCGCCTCCTGGACACAGCGGCAGCCACAGCCTGCCCCGTCCTGCCCCGTCCCGGGTGGGGGGCACAGCCCTAGGGAGGAGCAGGGGCTCAGGTCAGGGAGGCCTGCTGCCACAGCCGCTGACCCATGTCCGCCAGGCGCTGTACGGGAAGACGGTGAGAGCCCTGGACCTGCTCCTCCAGAACTTCTTCCTCGAGAACCCGAGCATGGACGAGCTCTCCTTCCTCCTGCAGGTGAGGCCCGCTCCAGCCACCTGGGGCCCGAGGTCTTCCTGGCCCGTGCCCCACGATGCCCGCTTGCCAAAGTCACGGTCTTGGGAACCAGAGGCATTCTTCCCCACTGCGGTCATTGAGTGAGAACAAGGGACTTGGGGAGAGTGCCCAGGTTGCTAGTCTCGGTCTCCTCCTTGCTGGGCAGGTGGGCAGCGGTCAGCTGCACTGCTGAAGTCCCCCGCAGGGTTGGCAGCAGCGTGCTGGCCCTGGGCTCTGTGCTTTGCAATGATTAATCCCTCCAGCCCAGAGGTATCCCAGGACCCCTTTGACAGATAAGGGGGATGGGCCGGAGAGGGCCACCTTGCCCCTGACCTCCCAGGTGGCTCTGTGTGGGGCCAGCACTGTCCTGACCCAGAAGGCAGCCCCATGGGCTCAGGTGTGTGCCCAGGAACGCCCTGAGGCTCAGAGAGGCTGTGGGGCCAGGTATCTTCCCGGTGGGGCCCGGGAAGCGGCAGGGTGGGGGTGGGAGGTGATGGGGTGCTGGGCCCCGGTCGGGCCCTTTCCTCTCTGCCCTGAGGGACACTTGTCCAGAGCTGTGCCGTGCTGTTCTGTGGTGTCTGGGCCCAGGGTGGGGTGGCGCTGGAGGCTGGAGGTGACCGAGGCCCACAGGGGGTCAGGCAGAAGATGGGAGCTTCAGGCAGGGTGGCCGGAGGGAGGTGAGCCACGTGGGTGCCAGCCCCTCCATCTGGTGGAAAGTAAGTTCTGGCCCGAGCTGTGGGACGTTGGCGGTGCCAGCCGTGCCCATCAGCCACTGCAGACCCTGGCGGGGCCAGGACGGCTCAGTTCAGGCCAGAAACACCCCCTGCCAGGCGCTGTTGCCAGAGCCCTGCGAGGGCCCCTGTGGGAGGTGTGTGTGTTAGGGGGCAGTGGCTGGCACCCGTCCTTGAGAGTCTGAGGTCAGGTGACAGGGACAACAGGCACGCAGCTGGGGTCCCTCCTGGAACCCGGGCCTCCAGGGACAGGAGCGACAGGGAAAAGGGACGGGGCCCCCAGGACAGAGACAGTCCCTCTCCAATCCTGGAGTGGCTCAGGAACACAGAGGGAAGAGCGACCGCAGGTCCCCCCTGGTGTCCCCCTGCTCCATACCCACGTGCTGACCCAGCAGCAGGCCCTGCCCACCAGGCCGTGACACCTCCCGAGCTGGCCCCGCCTTTCTGCACGTTCTGGAAGCCTGGAGGCCTGTGGTGGTGAGAGGTCTGGTGGTCAGCTCCAGCCCCTAGACCCCCAGGCTGCTGTGCCGATGGCCACTGGAGGCTGTGGCCAGGGGAACCAGCTGTGACTGGAGGTCGCCTGTTGCCCCCTCCCTGGAGAGGCGAGGGCGCTGAGCCTGGGGTCTCACTGGCCAGCGCTGGCCCCATGACCCCAGGCTGGGCTCGGGGGCTCGCCCTGGAGGAGCGTGCGCGGGGCCTGCAGGGCTGTGCGGGGCAGGGGCTGGCGCCGCTTGCCCTTGTCCCTCTCTGTCTGGTGTCATGCCCTTGGTGACAAGCGGTGAGCGGGCTGTGGCTCAGAGGCAGCAGAACCCCAGGAGGCTCCGTGGTGGCTCGGCACTAAGTGGCCCCCACGCTCCACCTGAGGAGGTTGAACTGCCCTCTGAGGTGGGCCGGGATCCACAGTGGTGTCGAGAGGCCCCTGGGCGGCTGCCACAAGGACTAGATCCTGTCCTTAGGGCGGGGCCCAGGGCTGCATCCTGCTAGCTTCAGGAGCAGAGGGGTAGAGACCAGAAGAGACCCAGAGACACACGTGCTCTGTGTGTCTTGCCGTGTGATGCTCTGTGCTGCCGCAGGACTCTGCCAGCAAGCAAGCCATCATCAGGTGTGGCCTCTTGACCTTGGACCTCCAGAACTGTGAACAAAAGTGAACCTTTCTTCTTTATGGAAGTACCTACCTCAGGTATTTCACTGTAGTAATGAGAGATGGGCCCATGCATGGGATTCATAGCTCCTTTGGGTCGAAGCAACAGGCCACACCCGGGGCTTGCCACCGGCATCTGATGTAGGGCCATCTTGGGGCTGAGCCCTAGTCTGTAGGTCCAACGCCACCTCCAGGTAAGTGATGTTGGAATGAATCGAGCTGGAAAACTCGTGCGGGTGCCCGCTGCAGGATGGCTTGGTTGCTGTTGGCTGCGAGAGGAGGAAAGGTCCCTTTGAAGTGAACATGCTGAGGGAGCAGGGGGGCGCACCACGGAGGCGGGTGGCCTGGAGGCCCCTGTCAGCCAGCTGCGGTCGGCCGGGCCGGGCTGGCGGGTGGAGGAGGGCCGCGGCGGCGGTGCTCACCCTGCCCTCCCGCCCCAGCACACCGAGCGCTGGCTGAAGTCCGACAGGAGCCACGAGCGCAAGCGGGTGGTGCTATCCATCTTCCTGCTCCTTCAGTACGTGGTGGACTCCCTCAAGTTCACCGTGAGTCCCCGTCCTCCCTCGGGGACACCCAGGTGGGGGGAGGACCCCCAGGTGGACGTCCCGCCTCATGGAGCTGCCCAGATTCCTATGGCCAGACCGTCTGCATGGGAGGGAGGGCAGCTCATGCGGGTGGTCTGAGGACGCGGGGCGGGAGACTGGCAGTGGTCAGTAGAGCTCAGGGGGCTCAGCAAGAGCCAGCGCCCAGGGCAGTGCTGTCCTCCTCCCCGCTCTGCCAGCCTGGGGACCCGGCTGGTGGTGCCTCTGCACAGGTGCAAACCGCTCGGCCCCACAAGCAGCTCTCCCCAAGTCGAACCTCAACTTCCCCAACTCCCGGGGTCTCCAGGCTGCACCTTCAGAGGGACACCCAGGAGCCCTCTGCCCGCCGTGGCTGAAGGCTGCAAGAGGGGCCCAGCACACTGTCTGCACCACTTCCCTGATGGGAACTGGGCATATGGCCACAGTGACCAATGGAATATGGCACAGCCCGTGGCTCTGGGGGCTGGTGACACACCTGTCCCCCAGCTACTCCGAAGGCCCAAGCAGGAGAGGAGGGCTATAAGTTTAAAGTGTCTCCAAATAAAAATAAAAAGGGCCAGGGGTGCAGCTCCCTGGTAGAACCAGCACGCCTGTGTTCAGCGTCCAGTCCCGGGGAAACGCTGAAGGCCAACATGAACATGATAAAGAATGGATCTGGAACATCTAGGGATATATGGCCACAGCGAGACCAATTCCAGGCTCTGAAATGAAAAGGCGCTGGTCAGTTGTACCAGCGGGTCAGATGCTGGAGAAGAAGAGGGAAACACGGTGATCTGAAGACAGGACAAGAGACCCCATAGACAGGAAAGGAAAAGAAAGACTAGAGAAGGATGACCAGAGCCCAGGGATGGGGAGCACCTCGGGAATCCCTGGAGTCCCAGGGCAGGGAGGGGGGACAGGCAGGAGGACCGCCAGGTGACATGAAAACTTCCCAACTTGAGGAAAGATATGAACCCATGGATCCAAGAACATCAGAACCAAAATTGTTAAAAATCAATGTGAAGTAGGAAAATCTTTAAAACAACCCCAAAGAAAGCAGTACCGTGTGCACACGTGTGTGCAGGCACAGGCACAGGCGTGTGGTGGCCCACGTGTAACAGGCACCTGTGTGTGTGCGCGCCCAGAGGGAGGCAGCAGCAGGCACGCCCTGAGTCCCCGTCACACATCATGAACAGTCCCCTTTCCAGATGGGGACACTGGGTCAGGGAGGCCAGGGGACTCCTAGGCTGGCGCAGGCTCCTGTGGGTCCGGGGCAGGCGTCCCCAGGAGCAGTGCAGGAACAGACAACAGAGGGCCTGTGTGGCTCACGGGTCCCCTCCACAGGAGGAGGCCACGCCCTCCATGCTGGGTCACCACATTGGCCTGCTGACTCTGCTGTGTCGGGACAAGGACAAAGTCACCAGGAGCCACTCTCAGCAGTGTGTCTCGCTCCTCCTCCATCTGGTGGTGGAGCAGAAGGGTGAGCCGCCAGGAGAGGGAGGGGATGGCTCCCGGCCACCACCCTGGCTCCTGGGCCCCGGGGCTTCTCAGACTCAGGCCTGGTCTATGAGTTGGGAGACAGGGCTGGGGAGGGGGATGCTGTCCCCCAGGCCAGCGGTTCCCCTGAACCTGAGTCTCACGTAGGGAGGGCGCTGGAATTCATGCCCTGGAACAAGGCAAAGCACTTCGAGGTCAAGGTCTCCAAGGAGTGGGAGATGAAGCTTGGCCACATGGTGAAGGTGAGCCCAGGCTGCGCGGGGCCAGCCCTCACCACACTCCCCACCGCGGCCCAGGCTTCCTAAGAATGGAGCTTGCCTGGGCGCACCTTCCCCAGCCCCCTGTACCGACAGGCCTGGGGGTCCTGGGCGACCTGTGCAGTCAGGGGAGCACCGTGGGCAAGGCCAGGACGAGGGACCCGGACCCTGCCCTTTCCAAGGAAAGTCCCCGCCTCAGCCCCCACCTTCTGGTCTGACAGGAAGCAGGCCTCAGGTTGTCACTGGTGTCTGCTGGGCCTCTCTCCAGAACTTTCCAGGGTGGCAGCCCCGCCTGCCTGGCTGGCACACATGGCCTGGCACTGCCCTTCCAGCCCGTGCAAGCCAGGTGCTCCTGCTCCCTCGCCTGGCCCACCCTCCGCAGGCCCTGCCCGTCGGTTGTCCCTGGCCCCGGGCCAAGCTCTGCCCCGGCGGCTGGGCTGCCCTGGGCCTGCTATCCCACCTTTCTGGCCTGTTTCCCCACCTTCCAAGTGAGGGTTCCTGGGGCTTGAGGTCCCTCTGCTCCCAGATCAGGATGCTGCAGTGGTGGTGGCAGGGTGGTTCCCTGAGAAGTGCACTGGCCGAGCCCCTCCAGGGGACAGGGGCATGGGAACCTGGTGCAGGATTCACTAGGACATTTTCTCAGCACGAGCAGGGGAGGGAGTGGGACATGGCAAGGGAGGCGCTGGCAGCAGGCGGTCCAGGGACTGCCCGTGGGCAGGGCAGCCAGTCACCAGCTGCGGAGCCGGCCAGCAAGGCTGCTTGCTCCTGTTGTCCCCAGGGCAATTCTCCAGCCAAGAGGCAGCTGGGAGCTGTGGCCACCGTGCTGGCCCGCGGCAGGTCTGTGTGTGTGTGACGTTTGTGGGCAGGTTCACAGGGCGCTCATTCCTCCTGGAAGGGGCCTGGCTCCTCCCTGGTCAGGCTGGGGCTGAGGACAGCCCCTCCCTCACCAGGCCTTTCGCAAGGACCTGACGGTGGCCCAGCACACGCAGCTGGTCCTGACGCTGCTGCACGGCCTCCACAGTCACAGCCACCTGCGCTGCGACCTGGCCTCCAGGCTCCTCCTCATGATCTTCCAGGACGCTGGCATCAAGCCTGAGCAGGTAGGGCGGGCACAAGGCCCCTCTGGGGGACAGGGCCCATATCCTCCGCTGGGAGGGAGCCTCCCTGCAGAGACCCAGAGGGGGGCAGAAGGCCCCCGTCCCAGGGTTGTGTGTGCACACGCCCAAGGCCACACCTCTTCTCCACGACAGACCCCTCTCTGCAGCGGTGCACAGGGCCCTGAGGTGGCCTCTGGCAGCCCTGCTCCTGTCCTGTGCTCCAGAAGGTGGACCCTGCCACTGCCCTGGGGGTCGTGGGTCCCCTGGTGTCCTCCCTTCAGTCTGGGGAGGCCAGCTTGACCCAGGGCTCACACACACTCTTGTCCAAGGGGCTGCCAGGCCCCCCCTGCTCGGGCACCCCCTGCGTCAGCCACACTGGTCCCCCACAGCCTGTCCTCCCACCCCCCGCCCCCAAGGAGTGGAGCACAGGTGTGCAAAGGGGCAGGCGGTGCTGTGGGCCGCGGAGCTGGGTCCCACCCAGGGACTCACAGGGGCCCCACTGCGGACTGGCCGTGGACTGGCCCCCCTGCAGGTGGCCGAGATCCTGCACAGCCTGCTCCAGGAGCTGCCAGGCATCCGCTTCAAGAACGTCTACAAGACCATGATGAAGGCCATCGCAGCTCTGGGAAACCAGCACACCCAGGAGGTGGTGGAGGTGACCCTGTCCCTGAGCCACCCCTTCGAGAGGTGGGTCCGCCCTCTGCCCACAAACCCCAGATGGACCCCATCTGGCCACCCGCTGCCTGCCCTCCAGCCACAGCTGCCCCAGGCCCCAGGCCAGCCTCACGCTGAAGCAGCATGGTCAGCACAGCTCCTGCCGGGTGCCTGCTCCCGGGGCCCAGCCTGGCCGGGGCCTGCAGATGCCCTGGGCTTGCAGTCCAGGAAGGGCCTTCACCTTGGAAGGTCCTTCTGGCTCAGAGAGCCCCGGAGGCCCACCCGGTGCTCTGAAGACACAGGGTCTGGTGGTCCCGAGCCCCTGGCTGGTTCCTCCTGGGTCATCACTGGACCACAGGGCACTTGTTAGGAAGGCCGCCTCCAACCTGCCAGCCCTGTCTGTGGGGTCAGAAGCTAGTGCAAACCTCTTGGGATGTGCAGCACTTGGCAGTCTGAGGGCGCTGGGGACCTTGGCCTGTCCCAGGGGACCCAGCCTTTGACAGGCAGCCCAGGCAGCTCAGCCGGCTGCGCGTCCTGTGCTCCTGTTCCCCCCACCCAGCTTCTCGCTTGCTAAGAGGTGAGGTAGGTTGAGGATGGCGGCTGCCAGCTTGGAGCTGGGGGCGGGGTGCCAGGGGGAGCGAGCCCAGATGTCAGGCAAAGCCCACTTGTGCTCAGAGCCCACCTGTCACCACTCCTGAGGGCTGGCTGTGTCCACTTCAGGAACCGGCAAGCTGTCCCGTTGACAGGCAGATCAGGGCCTCCCGGGAAGGCCCCCCAGGTGCCTCTGGGCCCTCAGGCAGCACAGCCCAGGTGCCCAGTGTGGCCTGCAGTGACTTGGGTCGCCGTCTCCCCAGGAAGATCCTGTTCCTGTGGAGGACCCTGGCGACCAACCAGCAGCTGGCCCGCAAGGTCATGACGATCCTCTACATGAAGCTGAAGCTGCGGCCCTCCAGGGAGTTCATCCAACCCACCCGCCAGGCCCAGCTGGTCTGCCTGAAGGTGAGCGCCTCTGCCCTGGCCCGCGTGGCCCTGGTGACTGCAGGAGTGGGCAGATCACCGTGATGTGCCCCACCTTCTCACAGGGAGTCCCTGCCCCTGTGCCCTTGGTGACCCCAGGTGCCTGGGGCACCAGCACACTGATCAGCTGCCCCTGCCAGGGCCTGGCTGCTGCCTGGCACTGCTTCTCTGTGGGGATGCCCCACCCTGTCCATTCTGCCAGGAGTGTCCTGGGCACTCAGAGCAGGTGTTCCCAGAGAGCGCCTAGGGGACAGCGGGGGAGGGCCTGGCTGCCCAGGACTGCCAGGGCCCACACCTGTGCCTGCCTGCCTCCGTGATAGAGGGATCGGGGAGGCCTGGGAGGTCCCAGTGTCCCCCAGCTGAGGGTAAGGGGTGACAGCCAGCCTCAGAGCTCTCCTACAAGAGCAACTGGAAGTCACAAGGGTTTGGCTCAGGAGTGACCAGTTGGTCTGCCCTTGAGAGGACCCGGGGTGGGGCAGGAGCGGTGGGCTACACTGCCCTCGAGGATAGGGCAGGGCACGGGTTCCATGGCCAAAGGGCTGACTAGAGACCTTCAGGGGACAGAGGGGGCCATTCACAGTCCCACCCTGGGAACATGGGGTGGCACAGGGATGGCTGCCGGAGCCAGGGCGAGGAAGCCAGCAGGACCAGGGGTGGCCTTCACCAAGGGGGTGCTCTGGAAAGGACTGCCACGCTAAGGGCACCTGGACAAAGTGGTCAGGTCACTAGAGGGTAGAGGCAAGGTGGGGCCAGGGAGGAGGTCCAGGGTGCAGAGGCCAGGCGGGGCCTCGGGGCCCAGCGAAGCCCTGCAGTCGAAGGGCGCCTGCTCCGGCCTCAGGCTGCTGCAGTGTGGGGGTGCAGCTAGAAGCAGCACGGGCAGGTGCTCCATGCCCTGGGCCGGGCAGGTGGACGGCTGGGGCTGCAGACATAGTGGCCTGCCCTCCCCAGCTCACCGGCCCCCTGTCGCCTGCTGCAGGCCCTCAACACCATTTACGAGCTGCTGTACACCCAGGAGTACAGGGGCACGGTCCGCTGGGCCTTCGCAGGGGTGCTCATGGGCCTGCTCACGCAGCTGCACTACCTGCTGGAGATGGGCATGGTGGAGGGCATGTCAGACTACCAGGAGGACATCCTGGACGACAAGCCCCTCGGGCCCTGCAGGTGAGCCACGGGCTGGGCCCAGCCCCTTCTCAGGACCCCCTGGCCCCTGCCTCACACCCACAGGAGTCCCTGGTGGGCGCTAGTGGGGCTGGACACTCAGGGCCCAGGAAGGAATGAGCTCGGCTCTGCGGGCAGGGGGCAACCAAGCGGTGACAATCTTGAGCCACGGGGAGTCCAGGAGGTGGCAACCTGCCAGGCCCCAGGGGACCCTCCCGCCTGGGCACCACTCCAGGACCTGCCTGGAAGCGCTGAAGGGCCTCTTCTGGACCACGAACTACTGGGAGGTGTTTGCCCACGTCAAGCTGCTCAACGGCTGGGAGTGCCTGGAGTGCCTGGAGACCTACCCCCAGGGAGTGACCCTCTTGGCCAGGTAGGTCCCAAGCTGGGTGCCCTCTTCTGCCTGGAAGGAGCTGGAAGTCAGCAGCCCAGGCTCAGGCCACACCCCACACCGGACCCTGCACTCTGGACTTGTGCTGGAAGATGTCTGGGCTGAGTAGCATGGGCACCATCAATCTACCCACCAACCACAGCTACCAGGTACAGTCAGCAGCACAGCAGGAGACTCTGGAGTTAGACAAAAGGAAGCACTTTCAGGCAGCAGGCAGATGTGATGCGGCAGGTGAAAGTTAGCTGCCAGCCAGTGGAAAAGTCTGCGTGGGTGGGGGGTTGCCTATCCCTCCCCCCACCCATCTGGGCCTGGCACTCAGGGATCATGTCTGCCTCTTCCCTTGGACAGAGCTATGTCCCACTATGACTGTGAGGTCAAGGCCATCCTGGGGCAAGCCATCATCTTTCTGAAGAACAGTGAGGAGCGAGACAACCTTGTGGCTATCCTCATCATCTCAGAGGTCAGTTTCTCCCAGCCACCCTGACCTGCTCCTTACATCAAGGATAAAAAAGACACTGTCCTCTGATAAAAGATACCCTACTTGGGTCTGATACACCAGATCTGCTTCCTGCCTGAAAGTGCTTCCTTATGTTTAACTCCAGTGTCTCATGCTGTGGCGCTGACTTTACCTGGCAGTTGCAGGTGACAGGTAGATTGATGGCGCCAACCCTGTTCAGTTTCTCAGCAGCCCGGATGTCTTCCAGCATGTGAATCAGAGGTCCATGGTCAACTTCATGAACCTGAACCTGAAAAACCCCAACCCGCTGGTGCGGGCCATGAGCCTGCAGGCCCTCAGCAGCACCCTCATGCACCCCAAGAAGGTGAGAGGGGGACATGGGGGAGCTTGGGGACACACCCATTTCCATCCTAGGAAGACTTCAAGGAGAAGGAGGCACCAGAAGAGGGCTGCCAGGGTAGAGTCTGGTGGGAAGAGGTAGACGGGAAAGAGGCTCAGGTCTGGAGCAGGAGAAGGTGGCAGTATTTGCTTAGGACAGGAGACTCTGAGACAGAGGGCCTCTGAGATCAGCACCTTTGACCCCCTTCCGGGTAGGAGGCCCCCACCTGCCAGCCACCTGCCAGCTCCTTGTGCTCCACCCACCACCTCCTGCCCTCGGCCTCGGGTAACTGGTCCATTTCCCTAGGACCACTGCAGGGCTGGGATGGAGGCCCAGATGCACCGCCTGACTCTATCCATCTTCTGTCCATGTATAGGGGAAGCAGCCAGTGAGCCTGTGGCCAGTCTCAGCCAGGCACTCTGTCCTCCTCGGTCCCCGAGAGCCCTGCTAGGTGGGGTGGGTTTGGAGATGCGCAGGTACCCTGGTCAGAGAGCCAGGAGTCCAGCTGCCTGTAAGAGCTGTGATCGCAGCCGGCGGCAGGCGACCCGCGTCACCTGGGGAACCTGGAGACACTGGGTGAGTCTCCTTGCAGATGGCCCTGCTCCAGAGCCGGCTGCTGGAGCTGCTGGACAGCTTCCTGCAGCCCGAGCCCAACGACCCCCTGGGGCTGATGCAGATCCTGGGTGACATCCTGCACCGCCTGGGCGACCAGGGCGTCGGCGCCGTCATCCTCAAGATCGCCCAGCACCTGCGGCTCTTCTTCGAGGACGTGAGCCGCCTGGAGAGGAAGGGGGAGCGGGGCAAAGGGCGGGACGGGGCATGCGTGGGACGGGCTTGGCAAGGAGCAGGCAGGGCGCCTGCGCAGTCTCTTCCGGCCCACCAATGAGAGAAGCCCATGCCGCTGTGCGCGGGGCTGGCGGACTGTGCGGCCCCGCGGACTGCCCGCCCGGGGAGGGGGTTGCGTGAGGACCGCGTTCCGTCGGCCCCAGGTGACCCAGGTGCTGCGCTGCCCTC